CGGATAGCTTCCTGAAGCCTGGAGAGCGAGAGGGGTTGGTGCGCACCGACGCCTCTCGCTCTCCAGGCTTTAGCGAAAGCCTGCATTCGCCCCATAGGAAGCACACACATTTCCCCTTCATTTTTGGAGGGGAAAAAGTGCGTCCTATAGGGCGAAAAATACGGTATATAAGCAAACTTTGGGGGAAGAAGTTAAAAATCTCCAGAATTAAGCTAACACTCCCATAATTTCCCCATAATTCCCTGTACTTTCTTCTAAAAATACACACACACACAAATTCAAACTGCTTTGGTATTGGTACTTGGGTCTGACAGCTTTGTTCTCTATTACGAGATATTATTCATGATGTGAGGGATTCTCTCCTTACAATGAAAAACTGGAATAGCATCTTCACTCCTATGTTTTACAATTCTCAGAAGCAGAAGCATAATCTTTTTTAAAAAAATATATGCACCACCAGCAGAAAAGTTGGAGGTCACCTATTCCTAGTTAAAAGGATCAGGTAGGAGGTGAGGTGAAAGACCTCTGCTGAGATTCTGAAGAGCTTCTGCCAGTCAAAGTAGGCAACACTGGAGTAGATGGACTAAAATATCTGACCCGGGTTAAGGCAACTTCCTGTGCAAACTTATACACAATGGTGTTCCATTGGAAACAACAGGGTTTAGGCATGCCTAATGGTGGAAGATTTGAAATATGCCTGTCTGGCTACAATTAAATAGAATACAAATATTATTCCAGTCTTTTACAAAAAAGAACATAATGCGTAGGAGGACTGTGAGAAGGAGAAATAGGAAAGGAGGAAAGCTTGCTCCTGACTTGACTGCTGTACAAATAATCTTGGCACACCTGCTGGTACGTTTGTTTTAACTGTTTTCACATGTGGTGTCCTACCCCACTTTTTGCTTTTTAATTGAGAGAGGGAAGATGTACCTAGGAAGAGAGGAGCTGGGGAGAACAAGGGGTCCCCCAAACACAGTGGATCAGGGTAGGGGGAGCTAGGGGAGGCAGATAATAATAGTAGTAATAATAATAATAATAATAATAATAATAATAATAATTTAGTTATACCCCGCCCATCTGGCTGGGTTTCCCCAGCCACTCTGGGTGGCTCCCAACAGAATATTAAAATACAATAATCTATTAAACATTAAAAGCTTCCCTAAACAGGGCTGCCTTCAGATGTCTTCTAAAAGTCTGGTAGTTGTTTTCCTCTTTTACATCTGGTGGGAGGGCGTTCCAAAGGACGGGTGCCATTACCAAGAAGGCCCCTCTGCCTGGTTCCCTGTAACTTGCCTTCTCGCGAGGGAACCATCAGAAGGCCCTCAGCACTGGACCTCAGTGTCCGGGCAGAACGATGGGGGTGGAGACGCTCCTTCAGGTATACTGGGCTGAGGCCATTTAGGGCTTTAAAGGTCAACACCAACACTTTGAATTGTGCTTGGAAACGTACTGGGAGCCAGTGTAGGTCTTTCAAGACCGGTGTTATGTGGTCTTGGCGGCCGTTCCCAGTCACCAGTCTAGCTGCCGCATTCTGGATTAGTTGTAGTTTCCGGGTCACCTTCAAAGGTAGCACCACGTAGAGCGCATTGTAGTAGTCCAAGCGAGAGATAACCAGAGCATGTACCACTCTGGCAGAACAGTCCGCAGGCAGGTAGGGTCTCAACCTGTGGACCAGATGGAGCTGGTAGACAGCTGCCCTGGACACAGAATGGACCTGCACCTCCATGGACAACTGTGAGTCCAGAATGACTCCCAGGCTGCGCACCTGGTCCTTCAGGGGCACAGTTACCCCATTCAGGACCTGGGAGCCCTCCACACCTGCCCGCCTCCTGTCCCCCCAAAACATGGGAGACTGTGCCGACCCCTCCTATAAGCTGGGGAACTGTGGTTGTCCTATCAGCCAGCTCTCTGGGCTGCAGCTTCTGCTGTTGAATGCCAGGTTGGCTCTGAATAAGATCTCCTTCATCCATGATCTTTGTGGAAGAGGAGGCCCATCTGGTCTGCATCACTGAGACCTGGGTGGGTGAGCAGGAGTTGGTTTCACCCAGCTGTGCCCACCTTGGTACTGGTGCAGCATCGAGGCAGACTTGAGGAGCAGGACAGGGAAGTTGCTACAGCCTATAGAAAGTGGGGAGTGGGGTAGGGAGTATAGTCACCCAGAAGCAGCTTCCACAGCTTTGAGGTAACACAGAAATAAGGAGGCACAAAGTTCAGTTTATTTGATGGAGGCCAACACAGAGCCTCCGTAGACCTGATTGTCAGCACAAGTTTGCCGAGGAAGGGGGTGTTTTTAAAGCTGTCACTGTGCATGAATACGCCACAGATTTGAGGCTCCTGGCAAACAGTATTTGTTTACTACTGTATAGACATAGCACTAGGATGCTGAAAAGCAGTCTCCTTCTGCTCAAGACTGCACTCACTTGCGTGACAGATTTGTTTGTCCTCCTACTCTAGATTTGTCATATGGCAATGCGCAGCAACACTGATGGTTCTTTAGGGTTTCTTCCCCCTCTTTCCACCTACTCTGATGCCACCAACTCTGCCCCTTCTACACTTGGCTGACCTTTTTCCTGCCACTTGCCGTCAGCAAATCCACAAAGGTTGAAATATGTCTGGGTGCCAGCCTTCGACACGTTCAGATCCACAGTGCTTTTGACAGCCTTGGAAATGTGATCCCAGTTTCTTCACTGGGCTTATCTTGTGTATAGTGAAACGTGCATTCCCAAGTTTTGTTAGTTTTTGGTTTTTAAACTGGCACCTGCACATCAGTCTAATATTTCAGATACAGGATTATATTTCGTCATGTCATAAATATACAGAACATTTCTGTCTCCCCTGTGTCATCCCTTGGTTATGAAATGGACAACTGGACTTCTCACCAGCTTCCCTGAATCAAGTAAAGTCCAGAGCTCAGTTGCAGTAATTAAAAATATGCTATGTTACAGTGGATGCCTGAAACTCAGTACCTGTTTAAGGATTCCTCCATACTGGTTTTGTTTGTTTCTGTGTGTTTTTTGCAGGTGTGATTGACACAGTAATAGTGCATTACACTGAGCCATCCGCACAGCATTCTGCTTTATTTGTTCTGTAATCCTTCCCCAATTTTATTGCATTATTGCCATCTGGAGGGGTACTCTTGCACTATGGTGCAACAAAAGCAGGATGCACAAACCACACAGAGAACATTTTTGGTATAAAAGGTCACAGGATTTCAGCAGCAGGTTACAGGACATGCACCAACTGGGGTTGCAGCAGTGTGCCCACCGAGTTTTGAAAGTGAGATCACATATAACTGCCCCGATACCATCGTGAGTAAAAAGGATTGTGAATGAACATTACAAAGGCTGCCTGAAGGGGCCCCAAGTCTCAGATACGAAAACAACTTCCATTATAAAGGAAACTAAGAACCAGAACAGACGCTATCCTGGGCTGGTTTGGGAAGGAAGGAAGGGAGGGAGGGAGGGAGGGAGGGAGGGAGGGAGGGAGGGAGGAGGAAGGAAGGGCCAATCTGGACCGGTACCATTGTCCAGGGGAAGGGGGATCTGTTGTTGTTGTTGTTGTTGTTGTTGTTGTCCCTCCTCATATGCTGCCAAGGGTTGCCAGAACCATTAGAGGACCTCAACAGTTTCATACACTTCAACACTTCTCTGATGAAAATAGGGACGTCCCATTCCATAATGATAAATTTATTATTTATACCTCACACATCTTATTGGGTTGCCCCAGCACTCTGGGCAGCTGCCAACATATATAAAAACATAATAAAACGTTAAACATTTTTTAATAAACTTCCCTAGGCAGGATTGCCTTCAGTTGGCTCGGGGGTCGGATAACTCCATACCATCCAACGTTTCTCCAATGAAAATAGGAACATCCTAAGGAAAAGTGGGGCAATCTGGGATCAGGTCAGAAACTGGGGTGGCTTCTCTAAATCGGGGACATCCCTTAGAAATAGGGACACTTGGAGGGTCTGTAGTTGCATTGAAGAGGCAATTTCAGTAGATGGGCAAGCTATGTCTGCTGAAATGGCAAAACTACTCCTACTGAAATTCTCTCTCCTACACAGCTCTGAAAGGTGCGTTGAACCATGTTTTCCTTTGCATCAGGCTACTCTTTGTGGACCCGATTCAGATCACACACAGAGAGAGACACACACACCCCTTGCAGCTGATATTTCTTTTATGGAAACTAACAACCATCAGCATAGAGAACCTTTATAGTTGCAAACCAGACCATTCTCTGCCTCCATCAGGCACAGAAAGCATTGCAAATCGGTACATTCTTTCACCTTTGGTGGACGTGCCCAAGGATTAAGGCTTTCTGGGAGATGATCTACAATGAATTGAAAAAAGTATTTAAATATACCTTCTTGAAGAAACCAGAGGCCTTTCTCCTGGGCATAGTCGGCCAACTGGTGCCAAAGAAGGATAGAACTTTTTTTATGTATGCCACAACAGCAGCAAGAATACTCATTGCAAAGTATTGGAAGACACAAGATCTACCCACTCTGGAAGAATGGCAGATGAAGGTGATTGACTACATGGAACTGGCGGTAATGACTGGCAGAATCCGAGACCAGGGAGAAGAGTCGGTGGAAGAAGATTGGAAGAAATTTAAAGACTATCTACAGAAATATTGTAAAATTAATGAATGTTAGAATGATGTTGGATAGAAATTAAGTGGTTTTCAGCTGTAATATTTTAAGGGAATATAAAAATGGATTATTTATAGGTAAAAATTTAACGTTACAATATTTTAAGATTAAAGACTAGGATAAACAAAGAGGGTAAGGATTTGCTGAACCAACAAACTGAACTGGAATACAAAAAAGGGAGGCGTGAGGAGGTCCGGGAAACAAGCTAATGAAAAATAAGTAATGGAAAGATTGAGTTGTTTTTAACCATTTTTATTTTGTATTTTCTTCTTTTTTATTTTTATTTTGTAATATCTTGAAAATCTTAATAAATATCTTATAAAAGAAACAGAAAGCATTGCAAATCCACACACTCTCCATGCACTCAGCATCCTGCTAAATGAGGCCCCGGTGTTTCAGCTGAAAGCACTTCCGAATATAAGCAGACTGCTGAATCTCTTCGTAGCAATATGCCGTCCAAACCAGAGGAGGATTTACCAGGTTATCTAAATCTTTCTAAGAAAAGTGACAGCCCCCTCTCCTTCTGAAAGTGTTTTCAATTCTCCATTCTGCATGGCATGTCACAGAGGCACAAAGGGGTCTTGATGCCTTGGGATTGTTTAATCATTTCTTGAAAACAATGCAAATGGAAGTCAAAGTTATTTTGATCGCCGTCATCACAGACTGAAAAGGCCTTGGCTGAGTTCTTCTGCCAGACAATAGAAGAAAAGGCTGCAAAGAGATAACAAGGAAAAACATGATTAAATCACAGAAGTGACATAAAATCAATAGAGACAGCCAAGGATCAATAATTCTTTGCTCTGAGTAACAGTCGGCAGCGCTTGCACTCATTTTCAGATTTTTCCGACATTATTACCGACTTGATTTGCAGAAAAAGAGATGACTCTCTTTATTTTTAACAGCTCTTCTTATCTTCTGTGTATGTTTAATATTCATCACCTGCAATTAAAGGTAGTTTAACCCATTCAGGGCAGGCAGTGAGTTTGTTCTAATTCCTCATTAAGGGCCAAACCCCCTTTTTTCAAATAGCAGCTTCAGCAGAGCAGGGAAGGGGAAGGAGGGTATTGATCCAGATCAGGACAGTGGCAGAGGGGAGGGGGTTATTCTTTTTCCCTACTCTATTTTTTCTGATGAAAATTTCACCCCTATGCTACAAATTGCTCCAGTAGGAAGAGGTTAAAGCTCCCTTCCCCTCTCACGTGTCATAGTTTAAATCCAGATTGGGAGGACCCCAAAGTTGCTATTTGAAAACAATTTAAAAAGTGAGACAGAGATACATTCACTCACTCATCCTGCTAGTCTGGCCCTGAATGTATAAACACATCAGCAATGGGAAAATAAAAGATCTACAGTGAATCTTTGGTGTGCAATGAAACACACACACATCACTTCAAGTGGGGTATCAGGAATCACCCTAATTTGAGACATGATGCTGTTGATGCCTGGAGATATACCTAATTGAATCTCCCTTGGGGCATGAATGCAAGAACAGCCTTGCTGGATCAGGCCAAAGGCCCATCGAGTCCAACATCCTGTTCTCACAGTGGCTAACCAGATGCCCATAGAAAGCCCACAAGAGGAACACAAGAGTGTAACAAGACCGCTCACCTTTTGCGGTGGGCAGCGTTGTGGCTGGGCATCCATAGCTGTTCCACCAGGCCTTTGGCCAAGGCAAGGCACAGTCTGACCCCCTCTCTCCTTTTGTAATCTCTAGCCCAATGGTTGCCATTAATTTGACTCTGAACTGATTTTAGAATGAATTGATTTTAGAATGTATTTCAATTACCGATTTTTTTTGCTCTATAAGACTCACTTTTTCCCTCCTAAAAAGTAAGGGGAAATGTGTGCGCGTCTTATGGAGCGAATGCAGGCTGCGCAGCTATCCCAGAAGCCAGAACAGCAAGAGGGATTGCTGCTTTCACTGTGCAGCGATCCCTCTTGCTGTTCTGGCTTCTGAGATTCAGAATATTTTTTTTCTTGTTTTCCTCCTCCAAAAACTAGGTGCGTCTTGTGGTCTGGTGCGTCTTATAGAGCGAAAAATACAGTAATTGATTGTGATTTTATGTAAACGGTGTTATTTTTACTGTTATTAGCCACTCTGAGCCCGACTTCGGCTTATAATATAGGGCGGGATATAAATAAAATTATTATTATTATTATTATTATTATTATCCTCACAGTGATCCAGGTCGGGGTCAGGGAATTGACGCCTCCCTCGCGCCAGCCCCAGCCATGTGATGTCCTGCCCACCCACCCGGCCAATCAGTGCTGGTGGGGGCGTGGCCACGGGTGTTTTAAACCACAGTGCTTACCTCTCGCCCCCTCGCCGGATCTGCTTCTCCAGCAATTACCACCTTGACTTTGCTTTGCTTCCATTGGATTCCTGTTCAGCTGCGGCTTCGACACCGGCTTCTGCTTGCTCTGCTCGCAATTTATCAGCAAGAGTCTAGTTTTGGTTGGGGTTTTGTCTGATGACTAAAAGGAGTTGCTCTCCCTCGCAGTTCATGGCACGGTTAAGATACACTAGTGGTGGAGAAACACTTGTCTGTGGACTGGAACTGTCCTGTAAAGCCTTTTGAACCAGCCCAGGAGCCTCTTATTTTTTTAAGGAGCTATTAAAAAAAACAAGTCATTGCTTAGAAGTGCTCAGCGACAATCATTTGTCTTCCAGAGTGCTTGGCAATCAGCTTCGCTTGTGTGGTGTTGATACCTTTTCCTGTTAATCATTTGTTAATTTCTCACTTTTCAATGCATTTCCCTGTCACTTTCCTAACCGCAAGAAGGCAGTTCTTTTTTAGAAGTAGATTTGTTGGGCTTGCGCAACAGAGCACTTTAATCCAGGTCAGAGGTACTGGAAATATCAGTGGAGGGCTGCCAAATTGATTAATTAATTAATTGCACAAACCTATATTTCCCAGCAGGCCCTTGAGTCCCTCCTGCAAGATACTGACAGTCTAGATGTGGTCCTTAGTTTCTGTTTCATGATCTCTCCGTTTGTGAGACTGAAGGTGGAGCAAATAGTTTGTTGCTGAAAGCGAAGCAGTATGACCCCACAGCAAGCCTAGAGCTTCCTTGTAGCCATCCATGTCCCTCTAAGCAAGAAAAAATAAAGAGGAAAACCATTTTCTTTATTTAGAACATGCCAGTTTACTGTATTACCATTTATTATTTAGCGTTTAGGTGTCAGTGCCATTGCATTAAGTGAACAAATTGCAAGGGAGACTAACAAAGCAGCAATGAAGGCTGTCAGAAATCAAATGGACCCATTGCATTTACTCCTGGGGTAGGGGGGAAAAATACCAGGCACCTGACAAATTTCATTTTGTACATTACAGCTCTGTTGAAAGAAAATGCAAGCCAAGAATCCTATTTGCTGGTATGTCACCTGTAAAACAATTGGTGCATGTCTGAGCAACATTTATCAGAAGCAGAAATTCAGAGATCTTGATGACAAGGAGAGGGGAAGAACTGAAATGCATATAAAAAAATGAAGCCAAATATTCTTCATGTATTCAATGCATTTAAAATATGTCGTTTCCTCAATTGGCAGGGGACTGGGCTGGATGAATGCTGGAGTCCCTTCAAACTCATAGGATTCGATGAAATTAATATTTTGTAAATGGCAAGACAGCAGACAAAGCAGTACAGGAAACACCACAAATGCAAAATATTTCCCACAGCTTGGTCCCCAAATCCTTTTTTTTTTTAAATAAAAAAAAAATCTTCCTCATGAGCCGAACTAGAACAAACTCCACTATTAAGTTCCGCTGGTTTTTTCAGATGTGAGCACAGTGGAAAGCCATTTGTTACAAGTCTCACACCCCTGCTCCATCCAAGCAAACAAACGTCCTCTTAATATTGCATGAAATCAACTTATATAAAAGTTTTACAGCTCTGAGTGAAGGGAGATGAAAGAGACTTTCTCAGTTGTCAGAAGATGAAAGCTGGAGGTGGAGTGTCATGGGGACTTCCTGTCCAATTGCCTATCCTTCTGTTCTTCAGACATTACTAACTGGGCATCGCTGTAAGCACCTGCTGAAGGTGATGAGTCACAGAACAAGCCAAGAGCTGAAACAAGTAATAATCAGGAAATATAATCATTACACAAGCAAAGTTCCAGGTTGAAGAGGCGGCCTTTTTGCCCTTCTTGTTGAAATGGACCAATAACTAGCCTGGGTGAGCAAATGGCCAGCCCAGTACCTGGAACCCATCCCCTGTCAGGGCAAATGCTCTAGCCCAGCCTTTCTCAACCTGTGGGACCCCAGATGTTGTTTAACTACAACTCCCACCATCCCTGAGCTCTGGCCTTGCTAGCTAGGGGTGATGGGAGTTGTAGTTCAACAACATCTGGGGACCCACAGGTTGAGAAAGGCTGCTCTAGCCCAACCTTCCTCCACCTGATGTCCTCTAGGTTTTATCAACCGCAGGTCCTATCAGTTCCAGCTGGTGTGGCCAATAGTCAGGGATTGTGGGTGTTGCAATCCAACAACATCTGATGGCACTGGGCTTGGGGAGGTTGCTCTTATCTGGTGGCTCACAATTTGGGGCACCTGCACAAAGAGCTTGGGGTTCTTGGAAAGCTGGTGAGATGGGAGCCAGCTTTAAGGAAATGGTAAGTATACCTCACCAGTAACTGGGCCTCGCTGTCCTGATTGATAGACTGCGTACCTAACACAGAACATCACAGCTGCTTTTCTAAAAAAGATAGGGCCAGCCCTAACATTAGCCAGAGTGAAGTGGCTGCCTCGAACAGCAGATGCTGGAGACAATGGTGAGGTGATGGAGGGCAGGGCAGTGTGTGTCATTTGGCCTGTCCTAAGCTAGCCTGCTGGGATGTGGGTGGCACTGTGGGTTAAACCACAGAGCCTAGGACTTGCTGATCAGAAGGTCAGCAGTTTGAATCCCTGCGATGGGGTGAGCTCCCGTTGCTCAGTCCCTGCTCCTGCCCACCTAGCAGTTTGAAAGCATGTCAAAGTGCAAGTAGATAAATAGGTACCGCTCCGCTGGGAAGGTAAATGGTGTTTCTGTGCGCTGCTCTGGTTCGCCAGAAGTGGCTTAGTCATGCTGGCCACATGACCCAGAAACTGTCTGTGGACAAACGGCGGCTCCCTCGGCCAGTAAAGTGAGATGAGTGCTGCGAGCCCAGAGTCATCCGCAACTGGACTTAACAGTCAGGGGTCCCTTTACCTTTATCTTCAAGCTAGCCTGCTATCCTTGGGTGCAATGGAGGAAGCTGTCTTTTCACTAATTTTGAAGATTCGGCGGTCAGTCTGGTCAGCTTCTGGATGTGGAACAGCTGGAAATCTTGTCCATCTCAAAGTTGGTGTTGATAAAAGGAAGGATCAGAAGCTCTTCCTAGAGTGAAATGTAAAGTGAGATGAAATTCACTATTGCTCAAGGACAGTAATAAAATGCAGCAGGAAGGAGGGTTTCAGAAATGCTCTCATGCTTAAATCTTCACAGGGAAAGTCCACCAGAGCTACGTAACCAAATACAGGGAAGTTTTCCACTGCTGAAAGCCACACAACACTGTCTGTCCTGGGAAATACAGCATTCCAGTCTTTTGTGCTTTAACCACAGTGAACAAACAGAGGCTCTGCTTTCAAGTTGAAGGTTTCTTTTTTAACTGTTTTTAATTGCAAAGAGAAGTTTATAGTCTGGTAATATATAGCCCCGTAAATCATCATTAAAATGCTTTGAGTCATGAAACAATAATAGGAACAAAAATCAATGTGTGTATATCAAAAGCAAGAGATTTATACATGACCTGGGATGATAGGACAAGAAAGCCAATGTTTACCATCTTTAAGAATAGCTGTGTCATTTGGAGGGGGTTGTTTGGGGGAAAAAGCATGACTAATAGAATCAATACAGACGATATTTAGAAATTCCTGGGTGGGATTTGTGTTCTTAGACTTCAGGTGAATTTGCAAGATAAGAATGAGACTTTCAGTAAATATGAATCCACTGCCCAGAATTCTAACTTTTTCAGCTGTTTTAAGAATACACAGTTATGTTGATGTTTCCATGGTTGGTGCCAGAGACCAGACAAATCCAGCAGATTCTGCTTCAGTCTTGATTTCTGCATTGTTGGAGGGGGTCTTGTAGGCATCTTGTCCAATCCCTTGCTTGAGGCAATGAATCCTGAGCCACAGCCGGCTCTACCATGAACCAAAATGAGGCAACTGCTTCAGGCAGCTTTCAACTATTTTTTCAACAATTTCTGGTTGCCATGACACAAGCAATTTCCTGGGCTACTGTGCCCATAATGCCTTGCTTTGAAGGACATCTAGGCCTTCCTCAGAGCAAGACAGAGGGGAAAGGGTGTCAGCATGGCCAGTGCTGACACCACATTAGCAATTGACAAGTAAGTGGAGGGGGGAGCAAATAGGGCAGTTGAGCAGTGGGGGCTGCCTCAGGAGGTGCAGTGTATTTGTTGTTGTTGTTTAGTCGTTTAGTTGTGTCCAACTCTTCGTGACCCCCTGGACCAGAGCACGCCAGGCACTCCTGTCTTCCACTGCCTCCCGCAGTTTGGTCAAACTCATGCTAGTAGCTTTGAGAACGCTGCTCAACCATCTCATCCTCCGTCGTCCCCTTCTCCTTGTGCCCTCCATCTTTCCCAACATCAGGGTCTTTTCCAGGGAGTCTTCTCTTCTCATGAAGTGGCCAAAGTACTGGAGCCTCAGCTTCAGGATCTGTCCTTCCAGTGAGCACTCAGGGCTGATTTCCTTCAGAATGGATAGGTTTGATCTTCTTGCAGTTATAGAGCCTTATAGAGCATCTCCTCTGCCTGAAAAGGAAGGGCTGTGTTGAGTATCTGCAAGATGTATAAAGCTGCGCCATCAGGTTTTATGTATGCCCCATGCCCTTCGGCTGAGGAAGACCACAGATCTCTCTGCCTCCTGAGGCACCCCAAAACCTTGGAGCTTCCTTTTACAAATATCTAATTTTATGGGAATGGCCTTTGTCCAATGCAGACCCTCCAAGCGTCCCTGTTTTCCAGGGACAGTCCCAGATTTACAGAAGCCATCCTGGTTTTGGATTTGATCCTGGAATGTCCTGTTTTTCCTTAGGACATCCCTATTCTCATTGAAGAAATGTATGGAGTTATGAGACCCCCAAGCCAAGGAGATAACTAAATTACAACCTTTAGAAGACATCTGAAGACAGCCCTGTAGAGGGAAGTTTTTTAATGTTACATATTTTATTCTGTGTTTATATATGTTGGAAGCCACTGGGCAACCCAGTCAGAGGGGTGGGGTATAAATATTAGTATTAGTATTAGTATTATGGATTAGGACGTCCCTATTTTCACTGGAGAAATGTTGGAAGGGTATGTTTGTCCAATGTACAGAATTTTCACTTCTCTGTCTCATTAGGCCTTCAAATCTTTCCTTTTCTTTTGGCAATAAATAATATATAGGCCAGTATCTGATGAGATGGATGAAGCTGTCTGTTTTATATATATATTTATATATTTTTCTTGCATATGTGCCTAGCATCGCAATCATTCCTGTGTGTTGAGAGAGCTGAGTGACACTTTTTAGCAGCTCACTATTTATAGGGTTGTGGAAAGGATGTCTATTCCAGAGGCTTTTACCTTAACCTAAACCAGGAAGGCACTTATAAAATTGAACTGGCTGCTTAGAGAGCTCATATTCTATTGTAAATTACAATCTATAGTTCTGTCTGACTGCCGGACCATCAGGAGATCACAAAACTGTGCTGATTCTTGTTTTCTGATTAAATTTAGGCTACTATCCTTCTGTGCCAGATTTCTTAAAAAAGAAAAGAAATAGGCAGAAGCAGAGAGGTTATTAGCAGAGAGGTTACATTATCAGGAAATATATTTTTATAGGAATAATATTTCAAAACAAATTCTATACATAATGCTAGAAACAGATATCAAATTCAGCCTGCTATAATTTGGGACTAAGTGTTATGGAGATAATGCAAATTTATTTTTGGTTTAAAGAGAAGGATATTTGGTCTGGCATCCTTCCTATGAAAGTTGATCATGCCGCTCAAATGTCATTTGACAGGAACCTGCGGTCACCTTGTTTGTCAATACTCTTGCAATGTTCCTGATCTTAAAGACATAAACTGTTCTATTGCTGGATTTGACTGCAGATACTTGCCTCCAGAGATCATTACAATGATTTCTAAACAAGCACTGAAATGCTAAGTACCTCAAATTACCCAACATTTCCTACAGAATGTGTGATTCTTAGGAAATACATCTTACTTGAATTGGAAGTACAAGAGCCGAGATCATTCAGTTAGTAACCTAAGAATTAATTATGTTAACAGTCAACCAAACAAGAGGGGTGGTGGGGGTGGGGGTGGATGTGCTGCCTAGCAACCGGTCAGAATGGCATGATCCTTGCTGAGGTAAACTGAGTTCTGATTGGCTAGTTAGTGTTGAGGGAGTTTTCATCTGAATGTTAGTTGTATGGACTGACATACATGTATCAACTAGGCCTGAATTGCTAAGAAGGACTAACACTCCTCTGTTTATTTCTTCTCATATGATGTACCATACTTGTATTCTTCCATTTACCCAGTAAAGTATTAGGCATTTCTCTTCTCTTTGGATTCCATCTGTATTATTTAAGGACTTTGCTAACAAGTGGGGTTTATGTCTCTCTGACAGTACTTCCCTCATTTTGTAACATCAGACAAAAGTTTGGGATCTTTGTCCCATGCTATATACTGGCTTCAAAGGAATGGCTGTGAGGAACAGAACTGAGATAATCACTGAACAATATTAGCTTTGAAGTACAGTATGGTGAGGGGTCCTTTTGTGATACATCATATCTTCCTTTTCAAGTGACTCCCACCCTCAATTTTGCCCCTGTGTTCCTTTTTTCCTTCCCAAAAGCAGAAGAAAAGAGGCATGCCCCAAGGCACAATAATGTTTTTGCACAATAACAGCTCATTCACATTTGCTGAGCAGAATCCATATATATCCCCTTAAGTTTGCACTTCCTTAATGGAGAATATTGCACTCCAAGCACTCTTTGGTATAAAAGGCAGTACTTCCCCCAGACAACACATACTTGGCAGATGAGATTGTTGGCTGGAATTGCTGTGCGAGAATCACAGGCATGTATTGGACGTTATCTGTGATGTCATGGTACAGATAATGAGCGGTGCAACTTCCTCCCTCAAACGTGTTCAGTTTTGCGAAACCTAGCCAGCTATTGGCTATGTACACCCCTGCTGTTCCAACCCTTAACACTATAGTGATCAAAGCTGCTTTGAAGCAGAAAACAAAACCCAACGGGGCTTTGTTAGTGCAGTCCTATGCATGTTGATATGGGGGAGGGATAAGCCCTGTTGGACACAGTGCGTCTTTCTCCTGAGAAAACATGCATGGAATTCATTTGCAAATGGATCTATTTGTCCATCCAGCCTGGTACTGTCTACTTTGATTGGCAGTGGCTCTCCAGAGATTCAGGAAGGACTGTGTCACTCACCTTACCTCTGTCTCCCTGAGTCTTTGCAGCATACCAGGCAGGAGAGAGGGAAGGGGAGGGTTACTGTGGTGGTGAGGTTGGTGCAGTGCGAATGCATGGGCAGAGCCAATCAAGCACTCAGTCAAACAGAGCTCTTGTGTACAGCACAGGCCTACAATGCCATCCACTGCTGACAGGAACATAAGAGCCACTGGATCAGGTTAATGGCCCGTCTAGTGCCATATCCTGTTCTAACAGTGGCCAACTAGGTGCCTGTAGGAAATCTGCAAGCAGGATTCAAGCACAAAGGCACTTTCCCTTCCTGTAGTTACCAATAACTGTTATTCGGAGGCATTGCTGCCTACAGCTGTAGAGCTAGATAAATGCAACCTGTGCTGCTGATAGAAAAATACAAAACCTTATGCAAAGCCACAGAGACTTGCGAACTACCCAACCTAAGATGAACTTATAATGTCTGATTTCAATTGATTTTTCAAGTGCTTTTTAGGTGAGTTCATGAAGATACCAACAAAAGGTAAGTTCGGTGTTGTTCACAGTACCGAGAGATGCTAGTGAGGTTGTAGATGGATGTTAATGAAGTTGTACCTGTTTTGCACCTGTTTCGCCCTGGTAGTCTTCGTGAACTTACCTAAAAAGATAAATAAAACAAAAGACAGAGTTAAGCACTTGAAAAATCCATTGAAATAAGACATTCACATAAGTTCATCTTGGGTTGGGTAGTTTGCAAGTCTCTGTGGCTTTGCATAAGGTTTTGTATTTTTCTCAGAAGATTGATAAAGAATATAATCATTTTGGTAATTATTGTGTGTATATTAGTCGCCTACAGCTGTAGAGGCAGAGCCTAGCCATCATGGCTAGTAACCATCAATATCCCTCTCCATGAATTT